ACCCACCAACCCACCCACCCACCCACCACCAACCCACCCACCAACCCACCCACCCACCCATCACCAACCCACCCACCCACCCACCCACCAACCCACCCACCCACCCACCACCAACCCACCCACCGACCCATCCACCCACCCACCAACCCACCCACCCACCACCCACCCACCCACCAACCCACCCACCCACCACCAACCCACCGACCCATCCACCCACCCACCCACCCACCCTCCCACCCACCAACCCACCCACCCACCCACCACCAACCCACCCACCGACCCATCCACCCACCCACCAACCCACCCACCCACCACCAACCCACCCACCCACCCACCAACCCACCCACCCACCACCAACCCACCGACCCATCCACCCACCCACCCACCCTCCCACCCACCAACCCACCCACCCACCCACCAACCCACCCACCCACCCACCACCAACCCACCCACCAACCCACCCACCCACCCATCACCAACCCACCAACCCACCCACCCACCCACCCACCAACCCACCCACCCACCCACCACCAACCCACCCACCGACCCATCCACCCACCCACCAACCCACCCACCCACCACCAACCCACCCACCCACCCACCAACCCACCCACCCACCACCAACCCACCGACCCATCCACCCACCCACCCACCCTCCCACCCACCAACCCACCCACCCACCACCAACCCACCCACCCACCACCAACCCACCCACCGACCCATCCACCGACCTACCCACCCACCCTCCCACCCACCCACCCACCACCAACCCACCCACCCACCACCAACCCACCCACCGACCCATCCACCGACCCACAAACCCACCCACCCACCCTCCCACCCACCCACCCACCAACCCACGTCTCGAGTTTCCTGATCTCCCGGTCGCGCCCCGAAAGAATTCCACACAGTCGAGCTTAGCGCATCCTGCACCGCCCCGCAGCCTCTGACGTCACAGACGAACCCCCACCCCCCCCACCCCCGGGCGCTCCGGGCCCACCTGACCCACCCACCCACCCACGTCGCCACGCAAACCGAACCAAAACAAAAGATGTTCCTACGCGCAAGCCCAGCCATTGTAATCGCTCGCTCGCTCGATCGACGGCAACTTGCTGGCGGATAGGGCCTCTTCGCTTCTACGAGTGGAGAGGTTTTGCTTGGACTACCTCGTCCACGGCTGGTCAAGTTGAAACCAACAAATAAACTAAACTGTGAAGGTTTTAAATTTTGATTTAAAGCTTTCGTGACTGCAGGGATTCATATTCTTGGTTCTTTCGGTGACTTTACCGAAAGAACCAAGAATATGAGTATTTTTTTGTTTGGTTACCTACGAACTAGACTTTGTATTATATGAGGTGAAGCCCCCACTGTTAGGGGCCGCCCATAAATGACGTCACGCACCTAGCGGGGGGGGGGGGGGAGTCAGATATTTGTGACGATGTGTGACGAGCGGGGGGGGGGGGGGGTTCAAAAATCGTCCGAAATCGTGTGACGTCATTTATGGACGGCCCCTAATGGTTATTTTTCAAAAGTGACATGGAGATCGCAAATTATAGCTTCAACCACGTGGGCGTGTCGTCATCATCATCATCACAGTGCGGTCACTTGCAGCAACAGCCAAAGACTCTGAACGCGTGACGTCGATTCTAAATTAGGAGGGGAAAAAACGGAGGTTCCGGAGAAGAATCCACGCGACCACTGAGAGAGAGAGAGAGACACGCAAACTTAAAATATACAGCAGCAGGCGTCAGGGTCGGGATCGAACCCAGGACCTCCTATACACCAAGCGAGGTAGTTAACATCTCCTAGCCACCGTGATGATGATGAGAGAGAGACACACAAACTCCAAATATACAGCAGCAGGCATCAGGGTCGGGATCGAACCCACGAATATCCTGTATACCAGGCGAGGTAGTTAACATCTCCTAGCCACCGTGATGATGATGAGAGAGAGAGACACGCAAACTCCAAATAAACAGCAGCAGCAGGAGTCAGGGTCGGGATCGAACCCACGACCTCCTGTATACCAGGCGAGGTAGTTATCATCTCCTAGCCACCGTGATGATGATGAGAGAGAGACACGCAAACTCCAAATATACAGCAGCAGGCATCAGGGTCGGGATCGAACCCACGAATATCCTGTATACCAGGCGAGGTAGTTAACATATCCTAGCCACCGTGATGATGATGAGAGAGAGAGACACGCAAACTCCAAATATACAGCAGCAGCAGGAGTCAGGGTCGGGATCGAACCCACGACCTCCTGTATACCAGGCGAGGTAGTTAACATCTCGCCACTGTGATGATGATGATGATGACGAGAGAGAGACACGCAAACTCCAAATATACAGCAGCAGGCGTCAGGGTCGGGATCGAACCCACGACCTCCTGTATACCAGGCGAGGTAGTTAACATCTCCGAGCCACCGTGATGATGATGAGAGAGAGACATGCAAACGCCAAATATATAGCAGGCGTCAGGGTCGGGATCGAACCCACGACCTCCTGTATACCAGGCGAGGGAGTTAACATCTCCTAGCCACCGTGATGATGATGAGAGAGAGAGACACGCAAACTCCAAATATACAACAGCAGGCGTCAGGGTCGGGTTCGAACCCACGACCATTCTGTGTACCAGGCGAGGGAGTTAACATCTCCTAGCCACCGTGGATTGGGGAAATGGTGAGAGTTACCCACGTGTTTAACCCCACCGCGGCTACGCGACCAGTCAATTGCAAACGAACTGGTGGTGATGGAATCCGTGAACACTGCTGGGTGGACTGAGTTGGCGGCTGCGGCGGTGGTGAAGATTTAAGCCGCTTGGAATGCTGCTTCAGCTGGGTTGGCGAACTGGGTCCTGGGTCTTGTCCCAGGGTCTGGGTGTGTCTCTCCCGCTCAGCGGAATTCATAAATGGCCATGTCGGAGACATGAAGCCAGCATCGTTGAAATAATGGGGGTTTGAGCTCTGGGTCTGGGCGTCTCTCTCTCTAAAACATGGTTCATAATGGCCAAGTCAGAGACTCTGAACAAATACAGCTGAGATCTTTGCGGTTTGAGCCCTGGGTCTGGGTGTCTCTCTCTCTAATACACGGTTCATAATGGCCAAGTCAGAGACTCTGAACAAGCACAGCTGAGATCTTGGGGGGTTTGAGATCTGGGTCTGGGCGTCTCTCTCTCTAATACATGGTTCATAATGGCCATGTCAGATAGACTCTGAACAAGCACAGCTGAGATCTTGGGAGGTTTGAGATCTGGGTCTGGGTGGTTCTCTCTCTAATACACGGTTCATAATGGCCATGTCAGAGACTCTGAACAAGCACAGCTGAGATCTTGGGGGTTTGAGATCTGGGTCTGGGTGTCTCTCTCTCTAATGCACGGTTCATAATGGCCATGTCAGAGACTCTGAACCAGCACAGCTGAAATCTTGGGGGTTTGAGCCCTGGGTCTGGGCGTCTCTCTCTCTAATACACGGTTCATAATGGCCATGTCAGATAGACTCTGAACCAGCACAGCTGAGATCTTGGGAGTTTGAGCTCTGGGTCTGGGCGTCTCTCTCTCTAATGCACGGTTCATAATGGCCATGTCGGAGACTCTGAACAAGCACAGCTGAAATCTTGGGGGTTTGAGCCCTGGGTCTGGGCGTCTCTCTCTCTAATACACGGTTCATAATGGCCATGTCGGAGACTCTGAACAAGCACAGCTGAAATCTTGGGGGTTTGAGCCCTGGGTCTGGGTGTCTCTCTCTCTAATACACGGTTCATAATGGCCATGTCAGAGACTCTGAACAAGCACAGCTGAAATCTTGGGGGTTTGAGATCTGGGTCTGGGTGTCTCTCTAATACACGGTTCATAATGGCCATGTCAGAGACTCTGAACAAACACAGCTGAAATCTTGGGGGTTTGAGCCCTGGGTCTGGGTGTCTCTCTCTCTAATACACGGTTCATAATGGCCATGTCAGAGACTCTGAACCAGCACAGCTGAAATCTTGTGGGTTTGAGCCCTGGGTCTGGGCGTCTCTCTCTCTCTAATGCACGGTTCATAATGGCCATGTCGGAGACTCTGAACAAGCACAGCTGAAATCTTGGGAGTTTGAGCCCTGGGTCTGGGTGTCTCTCCTGTCTCTCTCTGTCTCTCACACACAAACAGGGGGTCACATGATGGGCGTGTGGGAGACGGCAGTAATTCAATTCGGAATTTTAAAAGTGCTCGCGTAAAACGTCGCTGGCGCGCGTATTTGCGTGTGCCTGTGTGTGTGCGTGACTGCGTGTGTGTGTGTGCGGGTGACTGTGTGTGTGTGCATGTGTGTGTGCATGTGTATGTGCGTGTGTGTGTGCGTGTGACTGTTTGTGTGGTGTGTGCATTATGTGTGTTTGCGTGTCTGCGTGTGTGTGTGTGCGTTTGACTGTGTGTGGTGTGTGCATGTGTGTGTGCGTGTGCGTGTCTGCGTGTGTGTGTGTGCGTGTGACTGTGTGTGTGCGCGTGTGTGTGCATGTGTGTGCGTGTGTGTGCGTGTGTGTGTGCGTGTGACTGTGTGTGTGGTGTGTGCATTATGTGTGTTTGCGTGTCTGCGTGTGTGTGTGTGCGTTTGACTGTGTGTGGTGTGTGCATGTGTGTGTGCGTGTGCGTGTCTGCGTGTGTGTGTGTGCGTATGACTGTGTGCATGTGTGTGTGCGTGTGTGTGGGGAGCGGTAGTGTAGCGGTTAGCGCTCTTTGCTACGAACCTGGCGACCCGAGTTCAATCCCCGCTCACGGCCAATCCCGGTAACGATTATCTGAACCGGTACTGGGCCTCCCTTAGGTCGACCCAGCCTGAAATGAGTACCTGGTGCGGTGTGTAAAAACATCGCCACCGGGAAGACAAAGGCGGCCGGGCGCGGTATTGGCCACCCCACCCCCTCGTGTGCCTTGCCGGCCTTCGTAGGTGCTCGCGAACAGCACTTGCCCCAGAGGCCGTTGCAGGCTACACGGGGGACCTTTGTCTGTTGCCCTGTGGACTCACCCAGTGCTCTGGGGTTCACCATCGACCGCCGTCGCCTCGCCTCGCCTCCTCTCCTGCTGCGTGCGAGGGGAGAAACACACGGGGCACTGGGGTCAGCTGCTGAGTGCGGCGGTCGTGGGATTACACAGTCGTCGTCATCAACTAGCCAGGGTCAATCCACTGCTGGATTGAGGCCTCCTGCCCAAGCCTCCTTCACCTCCATCATCATCAACCAGCCAGGTTAAATCCATTGCTGGATGGAGGCTTCCTGCCCAAGCCTCCTTCACCTCCATCATCATCATCATCAACCAGCCAGGTTAAATCCACTGCTGGATTGAGGCCTCCTGCCCAAGCCTCCTCCATCTCCATTATCAACTAGTCAGGGTCAATCCATTTCCTTAAAACTGCATTAAACTTTAGTTTGTTGTCCTTCCCATGCACCTCTGAATGGGCGCTACAGCGCAAACAAGTTCAACGAACACACAAATCCCAGATTATACCGGAACATGTCTTCATCATGCAAATATATAGGGTTTTTGTTTGGAGAGGGGGTATTGGGTGGGAGGGGTGGCATTGAATCAGGGTAGTTGCACCGCAGTTTACTTTTTGTAGTTAAACAATCGCGAGCAAACAACAAAAATAGCGACGTGACAATTGGCGTCCGAGACGACAACTGTGAACGTCGATGAGCGTCGAGGGCGTCGTCCGAAATCGGAGTTCTCGACCACAGCCACCGCGGAGACGCACCCAGCCAGAGGCACCCGTGGAGGCCCCAACACACACACACACGTGGTGGTGATGGTGGTCACACCAACACACACACACACACACACGTGGTGGTGGTGGTGGTGGTCACACCAACACACACACACACACACGTGGTGGTGGTGGTGGTGGTCACACCAACACACACACACACGTGGTGGTGGTGGTGGTCACACCAACACACACACACACGTGGTGGTGGTGGTGGTGGTCACACCAACACACACACACACACACGTGGTGGTGATGGTCACCCCAACACACACACACGTGGTGGTGGTGGTCACACCAACACACACACACACACCTGGTGGTGGTGATGGTGGTCACACCAACACACACACACACGTGGTGGTGGTGGTGGTCACACCAACACACACACACACGTGGTGGTGGTGGTCACACCAACACACACACACGTGGTGGTGGTGGTCACACCAACACACACACACGTGGTGGTGGTGGTCACCCCAACACACACACACGTGGTGGTGGTGGTGACACCAACACACACACACGTGGTGGTGGTGATGGTCACACCAACACACACACACACGTGGTGGTGGTGATGGTCACACCAACACACACACACACGTGGTGGTGGTGAACGACACTTTGACAGAGGGTTTGGCGAGATAACCCTCGATGATTCTGTGTGCGACGCGGTTCGCTACTCTTACCCCCACCCCCCCCCCACCACCACCCTCCACCACCACCCACACCACCACCCCACCACCACCCACACCACCACCCACACCACCACCCACACCACCACCCCACCACCCCACCACCACCCCCCCACCCCACCCCCCTACCACTACCACCCCCCCACCCTCACCCCCCCACCCCCACCCTCCCCCCCACCCTCCCCCCCCACCACTACCACCCACACCACCCCCCACCACCACCCTCCCACCACTACCACCCACAACACCACCCCACCACGCCCCCCCACCACCCCCCGCCCTAACCCTCCCCCCCACCACTACCACCCACACCACCCCCCACCACCCCCAACCCCCACCACTACGACCCCCCCACCCACCACCTCCCCCACACCCCTTGACCCCCCCCCCACCCCACCCCCCTACCACTACCACCCACACCACCCCCCACCCACCACTACCACCCACCTCACCCCCCCCACCACTACCACCTCCCCCACACCCCTTCACCACCCCCCCACCCCACCCCCCTACCACTACCACCCACACCACCCCCCACCACCCCCCCACCCACCACTACCACCCACCTCACCCCCCCCACCACTACCACCTCCCCCACACCTTTTCACCCCCCCCCCCGCCACGTTTCCCCCATCCGCTTTCGAGGCGCTCTCGTGCGCGCGACCCGAGTTGTCGAATGGCATCGGAGTCGTTCACGGTGACGCCACTTCGCCCGTAAACCCTGCAGAGGCTTGAGGGTGGGGAGGGGGTGGGGAGGGGGTGGGGGGCATGCCGAGGCTCTGCTGCGCTGTTCGTTCGACGCAACACACCCGTCCGCAATAAACCCCCCACCAACCCCCCCCCCAAACCCCCCCCCCCCAGGGATGACATCTCGACTTTTTTTAGCACTCACTCTGCCATGAGCTGGAAACTCGGCGTGCGTGGCTTTGCGAGCTGTCGACCAAGCGCAGGCTGTCGTGAGCTCACTCGGCGCTCGAAAAAAATTACAAAAAGACAAAGACACCCCCCCCCCGTATTGCCTTTAACAGACTGTTGGGGCAAGTGCTGTAAGAGAGCACTTTCGAAGGCCGGAACGGCACACGAGGGGGTGGGTGGCCGACACCGCGCACCGCGGCCTTTGTCTCCCCAAGTGCCGATGTTATTCACCGCACCAGGTACCCATTTGTGGCTGAGTCGACCGAGGGGAGGTCCAGGACCGGTTCAGATAATCGTCACCGGTGTTGGCCGTGAGCGGGAATCGAACTCGAGTCGCCGGGTTCGTAGCGCAGCGCGATAACTGCTACACGACAGCTCCCCACTCACTCACACACTCACTCGCTCACTCACTCAATTACTGCCTCACACACTCACTCACATGGTCACACGCTCACTCACATGCTCACTCGCTCCCTTGCACACTCACTCACACACTCACTCGCAAATTCACACACTCACTCACTCCCACACTCACTAGCTCGCACATTCACACACTCACTCGCACACTCACACACTCACTCATTCACGTGCTCACTCACTCACGCACTCGCCCGCACACTCACACACTCACTCGCTCGCTCGCACACTCACTCACATACTCACTCGCTCGGACATTCACACACTCCCTCAGTCGCTCGCTCGCATACTCACTCGCTCGCACACTCACTCACTCGCACACTCACGCACTCACATACCCACTTACTCGGATACTCACACGCTCACTCACCCGCTCGCGCACTCACTCGCACACTCACGCACTCACATACCCACTTACTCGCGCACTCACACGCTTCACTCACGTGCTCACTCATTCACTCGCAAAACTTGTGGGAAGTGGCTGGGGGTGGGCTAGTGGACGAACCTGGTGGTGCTGGAAGACGTCACGTGGCATGCTGGAAAGCGCTCTGCAATGACAAAGCAAACCAGAGCGCCGTTAGTCCCCTGAGTGTCGTTAGTTCCCCCGACAGACTTAAATGACGCTAACAACTCCAACAACCAAAGGCAAAATGTGTTGTTCCATAGTGGCAATCGCCCAATCAACCACCAACTCACCAACCAACTCACCCACTCATCCACTTACTTTATCACGCACTCACCCACTCACTCACCCACCCACCCACTCACCAACCCACTTACCCACCCACCCACTGCTCACTTTCTCATGTACTCACCCACTCACTCACCCACCCACCAACTCACCAACCCACCAACCCACTCACCCATCCACTCACTTTCTCACTCACTCACCCAACAACCAACCAACCAACCAACCCACTCACCCACCCACCTGCTCACTTTCTCATGCACTCACCCACTCACTCACTCACTCACCCACCCACCAACTCACCAACCCACTCACCCACCCACTCACTTTCTCTTCCGCTCACTCACTCACCCACCCACCAACCCACCAACCCACTCACCCACTCATCCACTCACTTTCTCACGCACTCACCTACTCACTCACTCACCCACCAACTCCCCAACCCATTTACCCACCCACCCACCTGCTCACTTTCTCATGCACTCACCCATTCACTAACCCACCCACCAACTCACTAACCCACTCCCCCACCCACTCACTTTCTCATCCACTCACTCACCCACCCACCAACCCACCAACCCACTCACCCACTCATCCACTCACTTTCTCACGCACTCACCTACTCACGCACTCACCCAACCACCAACCCCCCAACCCCCTTACCCACCCACCCACTGCACACTTTCTCATGTACTCACCCATTCACTCACCCACCCACCAACTCACCAACCCACTCACCCATCCACTCACTTTCTCACGCACTCACCCACCAACCAACCAACCCACTCACCCACCCACCTACTCACTTTCTCATGCACTCACCCAGCCACTCACTCACCCACCCACCAACCCACTCACTTTCTCATCCACTCACTCACCCACTCACCCACCAACCCACCAACCCACTCACCCACCTGCTCACTTTCTCATGCACTCACCCACTCACTCACTCACTCACCCACCCACCCACCCACCAACTCACCAACCCACCCACCCACTCACTCACTTTCTCACGCGCTCACCCAGTCATTAACCCACCCACCCACCCACTCACCCACCCACTCACCCACCCACCCACTCACCCACCCCCCACCCACCCACCAACCCACCCACCCACTCACCCACTCACTCACTCACCCACCCACCAACTCACCAACCCACCCACTCACCCACTCACTCACTCACCCACCCACCAACTCACCAACCCACCCACCCACTCACTCACTTTCTCACGCGCTCACCCAGTCACTAACCCACCCACCCACCCACTCACCCACCCACCCACCCACTCACCAACCCACCCCCCCACCCACCCACCAACCTACCCACCCACCCATTCACCCACTCACTCACCCACCCACCAACTCACCAACCCAACCACTCACTCACTCACCCACCCACCAACTCACCAACCCACCCACCCACTCACTCACTTTCTCACGCGCTCACCCAGCCTCTAACCCACCCACTCACCCACCCACTCACCCACCCCCCCACCCACCCACCAACCCACCCACCCACTCACTCACTCACCCCCCCACCAACTCACCAACCCACCCACCCACTCACTCACTCACCCACCCACTAACTCACCAACCCACCCACCCACTCACTCACTTTCTCACGCGCTCACGCAGTCACTAACCCACCCACCACCAACCCACTCACCCACCCACCCACTCGATTTCCTAACCAAATTACCTGTGCGCAGACGACGACGCGTTCAGACGCCCACCCCACCCCACAGCGATGCGATTGACATTTTAACAGAACACAAACAGATTTCGCAAATCGAATTTTTACTACCCTCCACGCACGCACCCATAAAGATAAAGACCCCCCGCCACAGGTGTAGCTTTGAGAGACGTATTGGGGCAAGTGCTGTGAGTAGCAGCAGCACCCGATGAAGGCCGGCAAACTGTGGCACACGAAGGGGTTTCGATCCCGACCCTGACGCCTGCTGCTGTATATTTGGAGTTTGCGTGTTTCTCTCTCTCATCATCATCATCACGGTGACTAGGAGATGTTAACGACCTCGCCTGGCTTGCAGGAGGTCGTGGGTTCGATCCAGACCCTGACGCCTGCTGCTGTATATTTGGAGTCTGCATGTCTCTCTCTCATCATCATCATCACGGTGGCTAGGAGATGTTAACGACCTCGCCTGGTACACATGAGGTCGTGGGTTCGATCCCGACCCTAACGCCTGATGCTGTATATTTGGAGTTTGCGTGTCTCTCTCTCTCATCATCATCACGGTGGCTAGGAGATGTTAACTACCTCGCCTGGTACACATGAGGTCGTGGGTTCGATCCCGACCCTAACGCCTGCTGCTGTATATTTAAGAATTTACGTGTCTCTCTCCCCTTGGTCGCGTGAAATTTTCTCCGGGTCCTCCGATTTATCCTTCTACATTTAGTATCAACGTCACGTGTTTGAAGTATGCGGCTGATAGAAATGGCCACACGATAATCCCATTTCGTCGAGCTCTCATTTGTCATAGCCAGGTCGCTTTTGCAAAAGAGTTACAGAGCTCAGTGGCCTTTACCTGGTTAGAATAATATCTAAGTTTAGTTTATAGGTTGTGAGCAGACGGTCTGGACCCCAAAAACACGAAGAATAACCCAGAACTTTGGCCTATTGATGATATCATAGGCCTTCGCCAGGTCAACAAATCCACGATGGAAGGCCTTTTGGAATGCCCTACACCTCTGCTGTAACATGCGGACAGATGAATTGCTGTGCGTGCAAAACCATCCTGGTCGAAACCACAGTGGTTTCACTCACTCACTCACTCACCCAATCACTCACTCACCCAATCACTCACTCACCATATTAGCAGGGTTGTCTACGTACGTTGTGAAAGAAGTTAAACATACATATGTATGATAATAGAGCCTGCATGCGGCGTGAGGGGACTAGTGGCCACGGGAGGTAATGACAGGGGAGTCAACCTGCAGTGTTAATGGACTAGTGGCCACGGGAGGTAATGGCAGGGGAGTCAGCCTGCAGTGTTAATGGACTAGTGGCCACGGGAGGTAATGGCAGGGGAGTCAGCCTGCAGTGTTAATGGACTAGTAGCCACGGGAGGTAATGGCAGGGGAGTCAGCCTGCAGTGTTAATGGACTAGTGGCCACGGGAGGTAATGGCAGGGGAGTCAGCCTGCAGTCTAAATGCACTAGTAGCCACGGGAGGTAATGGCAGGGGAGTCAGCCTGCAGTGTGAATGGACTAGTGGCCACGGGAGGTAATGGCAGGGGAGTCAGCCTGCAGTCTAAATGCACTAGAAGCCACGGGAGGTAATGGCAGGGGAGTCAGCCTGCAGTGCGAATGGACTAGTGGCCACGGGAGGTAATGACACGGGAGTCAGCCTGCAGTCCAAATGCACTAGTAGCCACGGGAGGTAATGACAGGGGTAACAGCTGTGAGTGCGAATGGACTGGCAGCCACAGGAGGTAATGCCAGGGGTAACAGTTGTGAGTGTGAAGGGACTGGTGGCTACGGGAGGTAATGACAGGGGAGTCAGTTGTGAGTGTGAAGGGACCGGTGGCTACGGGAGGTAATGACAGGGGAGTCAGTTGTGAGTGCGAAGGGACTGGTCGTTACGGGATTATTCGAGAAGGGAGCGTGGTCAGGTGATGGAAGAGGACGGTAGAGTTTGCCGGTGGAGCGAGCGTCCAGTCAACGAGACGGATCGAGAAGGGGGGCGTGACCTGGGTTGGTATATAAGGAAGATGCGAGGGACACTCGGGGCTGTTACAGTCGGGGATCTCTGCCTGATGTCAAGTGAACGTGTCTTCAATAAAGTGCCACCTCAAGAGAAGTCTGTCAAGTCATCACTACACGTGTGTAATGACAGTGTGACACCTGCTGGCCTGGAAGGGGAATCACAGGTACGGGCACGGTTAAGTAACAACCAATCAGAGAAGGAGGTGCATCTGGGGTTCGCCGAGAAACTTCGGGAACCTGCTCGAAGGTTCCACGAGAGGGCCTGGGGGGATATAAGGAGGAGCGGACCCGGGGCTCGGGGCTCGTGTGTGAGGTCTTGGGTCCCGGCTGCGTTGCTGCTCGCCGACATCTTTCTCCGTCGTCCAGCCACGTGGAAGATCTCCTGCGTGGCTTCCATCGTCGTCATCGCCACGCCGCCAGCCAGCGGCGTAGCCGAGTGAGGGCGATGGGACCACGCCGAGTGTGTAGCCAGTATAGACGTTAATACCTCGTGTTGTACTGTGAGGAGGAATAAGTATTGGCCTGTGTTGTGCCCAGTGTGAGAAATAAAGAAGTACTCTCTACACGACGTATCGTGGAAGTTGCTCATTACACGTGCAAACCACGTGGTTGCACGAGGTGCCACGTGCGCGCGGTGCCGCGTGCTCGTGCCACACCACGTGGTTTGCACGCGGTGCCACGTGATCATGATCAGTGAGCACGAACTGTTGGGTGCAATACTCCGACTGATGCTCCTGCTGTTGTGGAGAGACTCATGCTGCCAGCCATGGCTGCAGGGTTTGGTGGTACATGTTGTTTGTCGTTTATTGTGAAAATTCCGTCACAGTTCCTATGATCACTGTATCATTGCTTTATTTTGATGATTTCGAAAAGTTTACTGGTTTGGCCACGTTTGTTTGTTGCAGTACGGAGTAAGACTGATGGCCTTAATCTTAGTTGTCTTGTGGTTGTTGGTGTACGGTGTTTTTTCTGCAATATTTTGCTGTCTTTTCTTGGATTTTCTGTTTGCACTTAGTCACATATTCACTTTAAGATGTTTTCTTGTTCATGTTTTTGTTTGTTGCGGTTGCACCCGATTCAAGAGCCGAATGGCTCACAGGGCTATACCTAATACATGAACATGAACTTGAACATG